TCGGTGACTGGGGTAATCGGGATGGGTGTGTCAGAGGCAGTGCGGTTGGCGCAGGATAGAGCAGGGTTTAGGGCTGTTGTGCATAGGGTCACTATGAGTCGAAAACGACTCGATGGCACATAACAACAACAACAACAACAACAACAACAACATATTCCATTTAAACAGTTCTCTCCCTCATCTGTTTCAATGCAGTATACGTTATTTATCCCCTCTCTTTTTAGGTTCTCTCCAACCCCTATATCAGTCCCATATTGCAACAGTGGCACTATGCTGTATTTGTCCTTTTGTGACTGAGATATTTCACTCAGCATAAAGTCCTCCAGGGTCACCCATTTTGTATAATATTGCACGAGTTCCTTGTTTTTCAATGCATTATATTCCATTGTGTGAATATAGCACAGCTTCTCTATCCATTCATTTGTTGATGGGCACTTAGGTTGTTTCCAAAGTCTTTGCTATTATGAACAAAGCCGCAATAAACATGGGTATGTGTATATCTGCTTGGGTTGGCAGTTCTGATTTCTTTAGGGTATATTTCCAGTAGTGGAATTGCTGGGTCAAATCGTATTTCTATTTCCAACTTTTTGAGAAAGTGCCATACTACCTTCCTTAGCAATTGCATCATTTTACACTCCTACCAACAGTGAATAAGGGTTCCAGTTTCTCCACAACCTTGCCTACATTGTCGTTTGCTGTTCTGTTGAATTTTGCTATTCTTTTTTTTTTAATTATTATTTTTGTGTGAGTGTACCGTCAAATCAGATCTGACTGGTACAGGAGGAGATTGTCCCTCCTTCCCCGGCAGAGCATCTGGTGGATTCGAACCGTGCGCCCCTGGTATTGTAGTTGCAGTTCCTTGCCACTAGGCCACCAGAGCTCCCCTTAGGCCACCAGAGCTCCCCTGAATTTTGCTATTCTGACTGAGGTGAGATGATATCTCATAGCTGTTTGAGCACCATTTTTTAAAATGGCATTTATGTGATATTTTCGTTCTGATAATACAAATGTTTCTCTTCAGGTGTATGACATCCCTCCCTCATCAGTGAAAGGTCCTGTGTTTTCAGTTCCAGTGGGAGAGATCAGACCTCAAGGTGTCTACGACATCCCTCCTCCTAAAGGGGTAGGTAATGAGCTGCTGTGGTTACTTGCCCTCAGGTTGATTCCAGCTCTACAGGCCCCCGGGATGTGCAGTAGAACTGCTCTATCAGGGTTGCTAGTGGCAGATTTCTCAGAAGCAGATAACCAGGCTTTTCTTCCAAGGCACCCATGGATGGTTTTAAACCACATACCTTTCAATGAGTAGTCAGACACTTAACCAGGTATATGCGTGTGTGTGTGTGTGTGTGTGTGTGTGTGTGTGTGTGTATACTTGTCTTACTACTACAGAACAATGCAAGGGGAAAAAAATCCTCATTTTGGAGAAAGAGTAAATGTAAATAAGGAAAAGCAATAATCATGAAAAGTAACTACCAGTTGTTATATAATCAGCTCCAGCTCCTGAAAAACTCAAGTGTGTCAGTATACAACTGTGCTCCATGGCGTTTCCAATGGCTTGTATTTCTCCATGGGGATTCCAATGGCTAGTGTTTGGGGACGTTGATTGCCAGACTTTTCTTCTGTGGCACTGCTAGGCAGACCTTCTGGTTCGATGATAAATATGTAACTCCTTGAACCACTCAAGGACCCCAAAGATCATGTTTGAGCCTCCTTATTTACAGATCATACTTTTAAAAAGAGCTCTGGTGGCCTAATAACAAGGAGTTGCACTGTCAGCCAAAAGGCATGCAGTTCTAATCCACCAGCTGCTCTATGGAAGAAAGATGGGCATTTTCCTCCCATGCTATTTACTGCCTCTAAACATCAGCTGGGGAGGGTCAGCTATGGGTCACTTCCAACTCAGTGGTACACCACCACAACAACAACAACTTTAAAAATAAAATGGAGTAACCAATAAGAATTAGTTGGCAGTTTGGTAAATAATGTGGGTTAACTCATTTGGTTTACTGCTATGATCTGAGGTCTGCCTGCAAGGAAATGTCCTTATCTGTACAGATAAGGAAATTGTGTCTCCAGGCATTTCAAGGGCGTGTTCTGCGTCACAGGGGAGGGATGTGGGAAGAGATCTCAGTTCTCTGGATACCTGATGTGGCTGTGGCATGTTAATGTATACTGGCCTCTCAGCATGGTACAGTGAGAAAGGGCTCCCAGGAAGTGGCTGGCGGGGGGGTGCGTGGGGGGAGGATGGGGAGTGTTTCACATCTCAGTTACCACTAAGGCTGTGGGAAGAGATGTCATGGAACCTGACAGCAGAGCCTTGGGAAGGGCCCACACCTCATGTCCACTAACTCATGGGAAAAACCACCACCACAGAGTTAATTCTGACCCCTGCCCACCCTGTAGGGCAGCACAGAGCTGCCTTTAGGATTTCCAAAGCTCTAAATCATTTACAGAAGCAGATGCCTTATCTCTTTCCATCACAACAGCTGGTAGAATAGAACCATTAACCTTTTGATTAGCAGCCTAACTTTTTGGGCATCTTTTAATAGCAAGATTATTTTTTTACTAATTTCTCCTTTATATTTCAGACATATGCCATCCCACCATCTGCTTGTCACGATGAAGCAGGACTCAGGGGAAAGGAATATGATTTCCCTCCTCCGATGAGGCAGGTTGGAAGGCCAGACCTCCGAGCAGAGGGTGTTTATGACATCCCTCCAGCCAGCACCAAGTCAATGGCAAAGGACCTTAGTATAAAATACAACTGCGATGTGGCTGGAGCCACGGAGCTGGTGGCCCGCAGACACCAGAGCATGTCCCTGCATCATGCATCCCCATCTCTGGGACAGCCAGGGGGTGCTCAGAATGATGCCTATGACATTCCCCGTGGAGTGCAGTTTCTAGAACCCTCCACAGACAGTGGGGAGAAGGTGCATCCTGAAGAAAGGGATGGTGTTTATGATGTCCCTCTGCATAACCCACCAGACACCAAAGGATGTCAGGACGTGGTTGATGGCATCAACAGGTTATCTTTCTCCAGCACGGGCAGCACCAGGAGTAACATGTCCACCTCTTCCACCACATCAAAGGAGTCCTCCCTGTCAGCCTCCCCATCCCAGGACAAAAGACTCCTCTTGGATCCAGACACAGCCATTGAGAGACTGCACTGGCTCCAGCAGACCCTAGAGCTGGCCGTGTCCAGCCTCATGGCGCTGGTGACCACAGACTGGAGGGGTTATGGCTACATGGAGAGACACATCAATGAGATACGCATGGCCGTGGAAAAAGTGGTACTGGCTCTGAGGGAGTACCTCCTTTTTGCCAAGGGGGCCCTCACCAATGCCTCCTGCCTCCCAGAACTCACACTCCACACAAAAATGAAGCGGGAGCTCCAGAGGGTGGAAGACTCCCACCAGATCCTCAGCCAAACCAGCCACGGCTTAAATGAGTGCAACTGGTCCTTGAATATCCTGGTTATCAACAAGTCCCAGAACAAGTGTGATGATCTGGACAGGTTTGTGATGGTGGCAAAGACAGTGCCTGATGACGCCAAGCAGCTCACCACGACCATCAACAACAATGCCGAGGTCGTCTTCAGACCAGGCCCGGGCAGCTTGCAGCTTAAGAATGGGCCAGAGAACATCATGAACTCAGCTGAGTACTCTCATGGTGGCCCCCACAAGGCCGAGGCCCACAGCAAGGCTCTGCCTCCAAGCCTAGGCAAGGAGCAGGCCCCTGACTGTAGCAGCAGTGATGGCTCTGAGAGGAGCTGGATGGACGATTATGACTACGTCCACCTCCAGGTAAACACTCCAAACTCAGAAAATACTGAACTCACACTCAGGGAGCCTAGTGCGAGCAGCAGCTTTAAGGCTGTGAGGCAGTGAGTTTTTAAGACCTTGAGGCTGTAAGGCCGTGAGGAGGCTAGAAGGTTGTAATGCTGTAAGGCTATGAGAGTGTGAGATTGTGAGACTATAAGTTTGTAAGGCTCTGAAGCTGTAAGATTATGAGGTAGTTAGGCTTTGAGGATATAAAGTTGTAAGTAATGAAGCTACAAAGCTTCACTATAAAGACTGTGAGGCTGTAAGGTTATAAGGCTGTGAGGCTATGAGAATATAAGGCCATGAGGATGTGAAGATGTAAGTCTGTGATGATATAAGACTGTGAGGCTGCAAGCTTATGAGACTGTAAGGTTGTGTGGCTGTAAGGCTGTGAGGAAATAAAGCTGTAAGTTTGTGAGACTCTAAGACTATATGACTGTAAGGTTGTGATGCTGTAAGGCTGTGAGGCTGTGAGGTTATGAGAGTATAAGGCTTGGAGGATATAAGGCTGTGAGACTGTAAGATTATGTAGTTGGAAGGCTGTGAGGACATAAGGCTCTAAGGTCGTAATGCTGTAAGGCTATGAGGTTGTAAGGCTGTAGAGTTGTGAGGCTGTAAGGCTGTGTGGCTGCGCTGCCAACAGAAAGAGCATGATTACTATTAACCAAGGGGTCTCCAGCAGGAAGGCAATGTGTTACAAGAGGAAGAATATTGAACTGAGAGCCCTGATCCTGGGCCTGGGCCCTAGAACGTTCTCTAGCATTAATTGTGTCCTTTGACTCCGTAGGTGTGTTAGTGGACTGGGCAGCACATAATATAACAACAGCTGTCTGACTAAGCTATCTAACCTCTCTGTGCCTTAACTTCCTCATTTGTGAAAATGAATGAAGTGTAGGGTTGGAGTAGATCCAACTGATATGCCTTAGGCAAGAGGAAAAGATTTAACAGATAGCATAACAGACCTCTCTTATAATCATGATCACTTCCCCTCTATTTTTCATTTTCTTATTCCACACCACACTTTTTTTTAAAAAGGGAGGGGTAATTCTACAGCTAAGAAAAATGGGGGAATGTTTGGATTAGAGAATTTCTAAGGTCCTCTCTAAATGTGTGTGTGTGTGTGAGAGAGAGAGAGAGAGATTATTTGCAAATTGTGTTTTTTCAGAGAAATTTCATTCTCCATTCTCTCAAGCTTGCATAGAGGATGATTTGGCATTTTCTGACCAGCTTGTATGAATGATGGGGCAGTGACCATCTGCCTCCTGCAGATGGATATTCCAGCAGGCTGACCTGGTGTCCAGACAGATTGTCTTTAGAGAATGAAAACACTTGTTTGCTGTGGAGTTGGTTCCAGCTCTTCTCCACCTTACCTGATAGAACTGTGCTGCCACCACAGAGCCTCCTGAGCTGTTGCCTTTACAGGAACACAGTCCCAGGCCTTTTCCCCTGTGGAGCTGCTCATAGATTATAATCACCACCCTTTCTGTCAGCAGCAGTACATGTAAACATTGTGCTGTCAGAGTTCTTTAAAACACTATTTTAAAAAACAACAGCCAAAAATACCCCACTACCATCAAGTTGATTCTGACTCATGGCCACTCTCCACCTTCCATCAGCTTTTCAAGGCCGTAAAGTCATTATGGGAGGAGATTGCTTATCTTCCTTCCACTGGGCAGCTGCTGAGTTCGAACCTCAAACTCTTCAATTAGCAGTCCAACGCTATACTATGCCATCAGGGCACCAAAAAATTAAAAAGAACCATTATTTAAATATTGTCATATAGTCTAATTCTATCAGTTGTTAAAATGTACCTGAGAGCCATGGGTTATACTGTATATGCGTTATACTGTTAAAGCCACGTTGATCTCTCTGAATGGAGGAGAGGAGATGTGGCATGAGAGTGGTGAGGCATACCAGTGCTGGGGAAAGGTGTGAGAAGTGAGTGGACGGGGGTAACTGGAGGCCAACCTCACTGACCAGCCGAATCTGCAGCCTGGGAAAAAACTAATTTGGAGCAAAACTGTACAGATGACTGATAGACATTAACAATGAAAAGTGGACCATATCCAGCCCAGTACATAGGTAGTTATGGGTTCACATATAATCCATTAGAAATTATAGCCTTTCATCAAGAGGTTTCAAGAGTGTCATGGGTAGTACTCAGAATATGGTCAGGTGATGCAGAAGGTACATGCCCAACCTGGAAAGCATACAGCTTCACCTGAACATATGGGGCACTGGCTGAGGAGTGTGTCACCCCTGTCTGGGGCTCGCAGGCTTGTTGGCACATGGAGAGCTGCCATGCAGTGGGAAAATGAGAGCGTGCTTAGGTATTTGTTAACATAATGATAACATTAACATTAATGAATCGGTGGTGATGTCTTGTGTTCTTTGTCTTGAAAACTAACAGGGTAAGGAGGAGTTTGAAAGGCAGCAGAAAGAGCTCCTGGAAAAAGAAAATATCATCAAACAAAATAAGATGCAGCTAGAACATCATCAGGTAAGCGCATCAGAACACAATGGCCTAGTGCTGCTTTCTCACCTAGCAAGGAAACCATGCAAAAGGTCAGGATACTGGTCCTCAATATCCTCACAGTGCCTTTTGGTAAACTCTCGGGGAGGAGTCCTGCTATTCCAGCTGAGTGTAACCAGATGGGCTTTAGACAGCATTTTCCCAAGCTGAGCCTGCACACCTAACATAGTAGGCTGTTTGGGTTAAGGCTGTTATCTGGAGGAATGAGTCTTACTCAAGCTAGTAAAAGCAGACTGAAAGACAGAAAGCTAAGAGTCACACCTGGGTAGAGTTAGGATCGTCAAATACGCTCTCCCTTTGCTTCGCCAAGAACATCTGCTTCCTTCTCCCCTGTTTCCTAACAGATTCCTCCATTTGCCTGCCCATTTGGCTTCGCTATAACTTCTTTTCCAGAATCTTTAAACCAAAACCAAATTTAGTGCCACCGAGTCAATTCTGACTCATAGCTATCCTCAGGACAGAGGAGAAGCCCCAGAGGATTTCTGAGGCTGTAAATCTTTACGCAAGCTGACAGCTTCCTTTTTATCTCACGGAGATTGGTGGATTCAAACCACTGAACTTTCAGTTAGCTTCACAACACTTACTCTTCTGGGCCAGTGGGGCTCCTTAGAGCTACTGACTTTTCTGCTGAGCTCTTTTCACTAATGGTGATTCCATTCTTTGGTTCATCATTTCTTGCAAAAGAAAGTCTTTCTCTTTTTCTCTGTGTGTGTTTCAGTCTGTCTTTTCAGTCAGTAACACAAGCCTTTGGTTTGACTATTCTTGTTCTGTTCTAGTTGTATGAGGACTTTGGACAAAGTAGATTTAAAAAGTTGAACATGAGTGGGTCAGATAGTGGTGGCTGTGCTGGTTCGAGGGCATAGAAGGAAGAATAATGGAGTGTGGCTTTACAGGCAATGGCGTCTAAGCAAAATGTGATGGGAATTCTGCACACCTTCCTCCTAATCCCTGCTTTCTACCTTATCAGCTCTCTGACCTTGTTGCTGTTGTTGTCAGTTGAGTAAAACTCATAGGGACCCTATGACCAACAGACCTGAACTCTGTCCAATCCTGTGCTGTCCTTATCATCTCTGATACATTTGAGCCCATTGCTGCAGGCATTCATTGACCCTCCACTTTTCCAATCATGATATCACTTTGCAAGAAATAGCCTCTCCTAAGAGAGAAAGCTTTGCCATCCTTACCTCTAAGGAGCAAGCACTTTGGCTGCATTTCCATGGAAATCATGTGCTCATTGAAGGGGTAGGGAGAAGAAGAAAGAATGATCACTCACTGAGTCTGACCACTGGTTCTTTTCAACAACGCTGTGCACTTTTATGACATACAATTTGCATCCAGACTTCTTTAGAAATAGTCATTACTATCCTACTTTATTCTTTGCTACAGTGTTGTTTTATTTAAAAGGGGAGGGGAAGTCAGCAGTTGCCACCAAGTTGATCCTAACTCCCCAAGCCTTCATGAGTAAGAGTAAAACTGTGTTCCCTCCAAAAGGGTTGTTAATGGCTTGGTTTGGGGAAATAGACTGCCACATCTTTCTTCCAAAGCACCTGGGGGTGGACCCATGCTATCAAATTTTCAAATGGCAGCTAAGAGCATTAACCCTTTGCACTACTCAAGAATTCTTCTAGCTTGTGTGAGGGTTAACCCCTTGCACTATATAAGAATTCTGCTAGATTGTCATTTTTGTTAGATGACATCCAATCCACTATAACTCAAAGGGACTTCTATGAACAAAGATCTGAACCTTGCCCTATCCTGTGCCATCTTTGACATCTCTAATATACTTGAGGCCAATGCATAGAGCCATTGTATCAATCCATCTTATTGAGGGTCTTCCTCTCTTTCAATGACCCTTTACCTTTCCAAACATGATCTTTTTCCAAGGACTAATCTTTACTAACAACATGCCTAAAATATGTGATGAAGCCTCATCATCATTGCCTTCAAGGAACACACTGGTTGCACATTCTCCAAGACAGACTTGTTTGTTCTTTTGACAGTCTATGGGCTGTTCAGTACTCCTCTCCAACACCACAATTCAAAGACATTGATTGCTTTGTCATCCTTATTCATTATTCAAATTTCAGATGCATAACAAGTAATTGAAAAGACTAGGGCTTGAATCAGGCACATCTTAATCTTTAAAATGATGTTGTTCCTGAGCGCCTTCGAGAAGTCCTTGACAACAGATTTTCCCAATGCAACATGTCCTTTTATCTCTTGATTGCTGGTATCAAGGGTGTTGATTATGAATCCAAACAAGATATTTACAAATCTCTTCAGAAAGGGTAGAAGAAATAGAAAGAGTCATGAATTATCATATCATCTAAGAATCTTAAAGAGACAAAGTAAAGGCAGTCTTCAGAAGAGCAAAGTGGAAACTGTCAGTGATGTCCTTGACAGAGACATCACTGCATTTGGCTTTGCCTTCACTACCACTTAACATTTAATAAACATTTACACAGAACCTCTGATATAGCACCTGTTATTCTTAGCACTTTATAAATATTAATTCATTTTATCTTTGTAAGGGTGTAGATGGCGGAGCCCTCATGCTCAGTGTGTCCCCACCCCCAAGACTGCCCCCAACCTGGGAGAGTCCTTTGTTATTAGCTGCTGACTCCTGACACTGCCATGCACAACAGGGTGGGAGAGTGATGGGAAAGCTCCTTAAGGCTGTCTTTGGCCAATTTTTGCTTTGATTTGGTCTTTTGTTGGTTTTGTTTTGTTTTAAAGAAATTTTTTATTTTATACTGTTTTACTTACAAAGTTCATATACATTGTTTTTCACCCTGGATCTCTCCATTTATTTTACCATCCCCTCCCTCTACTCATCAGATTGTATGACCCTATGATTAACCACCACCCCCCTTGCCCATCCTCACCCCTCTGCTCCCCCCCTCCCTTCCTTGAATCCTCATACATGTTCTATAATAATGGGCTTATACAGTATTTGTCCTTAGAGTACTGAATTAGTTCACATAGCATAATGCTCTCCAGTCTTTCTCAAGTTAAGTAGTGATTTACAAAATCATTACTGCTGTGTAATATTCCATCGTGTGAATGTACCATAATTTCTCAATCCACTTTATTGTGGTTGGACATTTGGGCTCTTTCCATGTTTTTGCAATGGTGAATAATGTTGTGATGAACATTGGTGTACAAGTCTCCATTTATATCTCAGTTCTCATTCTCTCGGGCTATATTTGAGGCAGTGGAATAGCTGGGTCATATGGAATTTCTATGTTGCTTTGATCTGTAAAACAGAACAAACCAGTCTCGCTTCACCAGCTCGCACAAGCTTGTTTTGTGCCATTCATTGCAATCCCCATCACATCACACATCCCAGCCCCTTCCCCAGGCTTCCTGTTTTGGTACCTCCCTCCCTCCTCCTCCTTCATGACTTCTGAACTTTATCATGGGACAAATGCTGCTGCTTTGATCTTGAGTGGCTGATTGTTCTGAGGAGTTCTATCTCCCTGGTGTCACTGCTCACCTTACAAACTCATCTATTGTTTAGTGGAAAACTGAGTCATTTGGTGAGTTCTATTCTAGGTCTCAAGAGCCATCCTCTAGGAGTGTCCCACATGGGTCTGTATAACCAGTAAGCCTTGTTCTTTTTATGATTGTGGGGTTTGTTCCCCAATTTTCTCTCCTTCTGTTCACATGTTAATGCTTTCAGAATCCTTCCAGAGTGGACAATAGTTAGAGCCTGGAACCATCTAGTTCATCTGGTCTCACGTCATGGAGCTGAGCTTTATTTGTTCTTTGGATTAATTGTTTCCATGATTGTGTTCTTCCTCCTTTGCTCTGGTTTAGAAGAGACCAATAGTTGAACCATTAGTTGGTTTTCAAAAGTGCTTTTCCAGATCCGTCTTACTCTAGAAGCTTCCCTGAAACCCTTTTCATTATCAGAGCAACACACAAATTTTCACTGACAAGAGGGTGTGTTAGGTACATTAGTCAGGATTTAACTCAGGTCTTCCAAACTGAAGGGAAGAGTGGACAGTGTGGGTTCAATGCTAGAATTTTCTTCTTGGGACACCTTTGAGGTCCTCTTTCTCAGCCTCTACATTTTATAATTTATGAAAGTAAACAACTTACCAAGGCCTCACATCTAGTAAATACCTGACATTAATAGTTCAAATCCATGTCTTTTAACTCCAAACCCAGGATCATTGTCATTAAACTAGCATTGCCTGACCCTTAATGAAGCCTATTTTATTTTTTTTCTTCCTCACAGCTTAGTCAGTTCCAGCTGTTGGAACAAGAAATCACGAAGCCAGTGGAGAATGACATCTCAAAGTGGAAGCCCTCCCAGAGCCTCCCAGCCACAAGCAACAGTGTGGGTGCTCAGGACAGGCAGCTGCTCTGTTTCTACTATGACCAGTGCGAGACCCATTACATCTCCCTCCTCAACGCCATTGATGCCCTCTTCAGTTGTGTCAGCTCCGCCCAGCCACCAAGGATCTTTGTGGCACACAGCAAGTTTGTCATCCTAAGTGCACACAAACTGGTGTTCATTGGAGACACGCTGACAAGGCAGGTTGCTGCCCAGGACATTCGCAACAAAGTGATGAACTCTAGCAACCAGCTGTGCGAACAGCTCAAGACTATAGTTATGGCAACCAAGATGGCTGCCCTCCATTACCCCAGCACGACCGCCCTCCAGGAAATGGTGCACCAAGTGACTGACCTGTCGAGAAATGCCCAACTCTTCAAGCGCTCTTTGCTGGAGATGGCCACATTCTGAGGAGGAGAAAAGGACAAAAAGGGGCCAGAATGAGCTCTAAGGAAAACTGGAAATACTACTATCTGGTTTTTATAAATGTTATCTATTTTTGTAGATATTTTATATGAAATATTTTAAATACATTTTATGGCTGTAGAAAACATTCAGGGAACTGGCAATTGAAAACCTGTCTCTTTTTTAGCTATTTGGTTCTTATGTATCCATATAAGTATCGAAGATATAAACTGAGCAGATGCTTGTACATTTGCTTGTGTATGCCTGTGTATTCGTGTTTGTTTGTCTAATATAGTTCATTAAAAAATATGAATTGAGAAGCACTTAACATTCTTTTTTTTTTTTTCTTGGTCTTGGGTATTCCATAAAAAAAAAAACATTAATTCAAATGCACCTCCAATGCAGCGTATTTTTTTGAAAGCATAATAGCTGGTTGTGACACCACTGCCATTGAGTTGTTTCTAACTCCTGGTAACCCTACATTATGTATCTGAGGCTGTAAATCTGCCTCGGACTGATTGCCTCAACTTTCTCCCATAGTGGATCTGGTGGATTTGAACTGCCAATCTCTTGCTTAGCCTAACACATAATCCATTATGCTACCAGGGCTCCTTTGCTTGTCATGATAATATTTTATATACATGTGTGATATCATGGATTGATCACTCCCAAATGTGGAAAAACTCACTGCCATTGAAAGGGAACCAACACCTACTTGACCCTCCATTGGGTTTCCAAGGCCATAAATCACATGGAGGAGACTGATCATCTTTCAGTCTCACCGTGGCTCCACGGGTGATTTTAAATCTGAAAAACAGAGAATATTTGCAAATGTTCATCTCCCAAATAATGAAGTATGACATGACTTGTCATTGATTCAAAATCCCTTTTAAAATTAACCTTCTTCAATACATTATGGCAAACTTCCCCCACTTGAAGTGGGAAAAATGTTTGAAAAGTTACTAAAGATCTATGTTAACATAAGATCTGATATTATAGGTTCTGCAGAGATACATATGTACTTCAAGTCCATGTACACCAACCATTAGGGTTGAGAGGCTTCAGCACTGAAAGAAGCCACAATTAAATCAGAGTCACTGTTTTGCCTGTGGCAATAGTATTGTCTGCATTTGTGAATGATTCAGCCAGGAAGTTTTCCGAAGATCCGAAGATGTTCTATAGACTTTCAAAAGACATATTCTATGAAGCAGGAATTTATCAAGACATATCAGACTACACCCACAGAAAGGAGGAATTTATGGCTCTGGGTGCCCTTCTGGCTCTCAGCATTCACTCAGGTACTAACACACCCATGCTTATTGCCAGAAAGAGATTGTCCACAGCCACCAACCACATTCTACTCTCAAGATAATTCCTTACTTGTCTTGTACATTCAAGACACATATTGCAGACATTATACCCAGAACAATTACACAGAGTCCATTGGCTATACAAATCTGTCTATCCAAAGGTCTTACACATAAAGCCTCCTTCCTCAGTCTCATAAATTGGGTATAGCATATGTCCCATTACTCAGTGTGGACATGGCAGAGGCCATCCACAAGCCATCAGCATCAACATGGGGGCAATGAAATCCTCCCTACTGGTAAGTAAATGTGCTCATATATTACCAAGTCAAGAAGTGGGTCATTGATGTTATTTAAGTCAAGTTCTTATTTAATAATTGTATCCTAGCATACTTGGACACAGGTTATTTTACAATATCCACTTTGACTGAATTATGCTTGCTTGTTTTGAACAACCAAGATGTTGGAACAGGAGAGGATTTTAGAAAGCATACAATACATTCTCTATATGATTAAAAAAAAAAACAGCAGACCTGCCCATACTCATATTAATAGCAGTGTTACCATCACAAGAACATGGAAACAGCCTAAATGTGTCCAACCACGATTGAGTGGATTGAGAACTTATGTTACATTCACACAATGGAATATTATGCAGCACACAGGAGCAATGATTTTGTAAATCACTACCTAACTTAGGAGGGACTGGAGAGCATTATGAGCTAACTCAGTCCCATAAAGACAGATGCTGTATAAGACTATTATTGTAGAATTAGATAACTAGTAAAACATGTATGGAGATCTAAGGGGGGAGAATGGGAACAGAGGGGTAAGGACAGGGGCGGGGGCGGTAATCATAGGGTTGTACAGTTTGATGGGTGGAGGGAGGAGTGGGTTAAGGAAATGGGAATGATCCAGTGTGGAAAGCAATGTATACATACTTTGTAAGTAAACCAATACATTGTTATTGTTGTTGTTATGTGCTGTCAAGTCGCAACTCATAGCGTATAACAGCCCTAAACTCTGCTCTGTCCTGTGCCAATCACACTGTCTCCGATACTGTCATCCCAATTACCCCAGTCACTGAATCAATTCACCTCATAGAGGACCTTCCCCTCCTGCACTGTCCCTCCACCCTCCCAAGCATGATACTAAAAATTTTATATTAAAACGGTGCTTTTCAAAACAACTGATACTGTAGTTCTCAAAGTTCTGTTCTGCCAAAAGTAAAGAAGTTAAAAGTTGTATTGTTGCACCAGTCCTGACTACCATGAAGACCCAGAGGAGTCAACTCCCACCACAATGAGGACCCAAAGCAGCCAGTCCCACCACGTGGGAAGCTCATGCCAAGGGGGAGCATGTCCCTGTGAGAATCACACCCCCTCAGGAAGCCTGCTGCTGAGATTTTGGACTTCTGTGTCAGTGGACCCATTGAGAAGCAAGCCTGTCACTGTTGGGCCACACCTGGGCAGAAGAATGGATACTAGCTCCCTACTGCCCAGAAGAGCTCTGGTGGCCTAGTGGTAAGATGCTGTGATGCAATCCCAGAGGCACACGATTCAAATCCACCAAATGTTGTGTGGGAGAAAGATGGGCAATCTGCTCCTGTACAATATATTGTCTCTGAAAACCTGCTGGAGGGTCAGCTATGGGTTGTTTTTTATTCAAAACCAAACAACAACAAAAAGCAACTGCCCAGGAACAAGACAAGAAGATTGTTGTCAGAATAGGGAACTAAATGAACACATGAATAATCTTCATCCAAGCAGTTGGGAGACTCCAGAATTGCCCAAGGATGTAGTATGGAGAAAACAAATAAACCAAAAGCAAACTTTCCACCTGACTGGCAGATTGAACAGCATCATGCTAAATCAGGAGGAGGGAAGCAAAGGGGCAAAGACATCTTAAATTTCTCCTGCTGCTGGCAGGGAGGTGTGCATAGTACACGCACGGTGAATCAGAAACTGTATAACAATTCTTCCAATGCAAAAAGAAATGCCTCCAGGTAAGAAAAGGGTCATGCCCATGACTCTGTGAGCAGGGGCAAATATAGACTAACTGCAATGCACAGGCTGTCAGATCTAAATACCTAGGCTTTCTGGTTCTTCTCTGAAGGAAGTGCCACACAATGAAGACCAACTGACAGTAACAAACTATGCTTGCAACTACATCACCCTCTACACCACAACAACAAAGGATACTGAATCTGCTCATCTAGAAGTCACGTCCTAAACCCATACCATTCCCTTGAATCTTGGAAACTCAATCAGCCCCAAACTGTACCACTTAGAATTTGCAACTTTATCAGGACTGGCACAAAGATAAGGAAGAGGCCACTAGCTACATAGACACAACAGAAGCTGCCTCATCCATTCCAAGATACATTCCATATAAAATCAAAGAAGAAGCAATCAGTTTTAAATATTACAAGATAGCAAAACAAGGCATCTCCTTAAAAAGCAGACCAGATCACAGACCAAATGATTATCCTATTATTGTAGTGGTGATGTACCATTGAATTTAGAATTGACCTATAGCTGACCCTCCAGTGGGTTTTCAGAGGTAGTAAATTGGATGAGAGGAGACTGCCTATCTTTCTCCCACAGAATAGCTGGTGAATTTGAACGACACACCTTTAGAGTGGTAGCACAATTCCTCACCACCAAGTCACCAAAGCTCCCTGATAATTACCTAGGGAGTTGTTGGTGTTAGGTGCTTTGCAATCAAGTATAAGTCATAGCCAAAACCATAAGCAGAGAAATGCAAGAATTAAATAATTCAGCACAAGGCGAAACAGATACAACTAAAAGAATACTGGAAATGGTAAAAAGTCATGGAAATGCAATCCAGAAAAATAAGGTTGCTATTCCACATATTTTCAACATAAGGGAAGGACAAAAGAACAGGATAGAAAAAGTAGAGCAGAAAGTCAATGAGACAGAGACAAGATCCTCAATGAGAACTCCTAAAAGAAAAAGCATAAGTAAGGTGGAAAGAAAATATAAGAATCATGCTGGGTGACATCAAAGGAAAGAATATAGATTTGACTAGAATTCCAGAACAGGAAGGGAAGAAGAGGAAAAGCACAGAGAAAACAGTGGAAGAGGTACTAGAATCAAGGCTTCCAGGTATCATGAAAAATAAGAAAATATGCATTCAAGAACCTCAGCAAAACCCAAACAGATTAGACTCAAAAGAAAGCCCTCTCATCATCAAATTATACAAAATCAAACACAAAGATAGGATACTAAATGCAGCTTGAGAAAAATAGTCACCTACAAAGAAGAACTAGTTAGACTAAGTTCCATCTTCTAAGCAAGAAGAAAGCAAGAAGACAAAGGAATGGCATCTACAAAAGAGGAAAGAAAATAACTGCCATCTGATAATTCCATATCCAGCAAACTGTTCATCAAATATGAAGGAGAAATGAGATCATTCACAGAAAAATAGGAACTTAAGGAACCTATGAAAACCAGTCCAATTCTACATGAAATAATAAAGAAAGTCCTTTCCACAGAGACTGCAAAGAAAATTGGATGGGGCAAAGTAACCAGAAACAACAAATTAGAAGAAGTCAGTATAATGGCAACACTAAAATTGGGCCTGTTGATAATCACACTGAATGTAAATGGCTTAAAAGCACTAATTAAGGGGGGGGGGAATAGCAGAGTGGATAAAAAAGCAAACAAACAAAATACC